CCATACATTTAGTTAGTTAAGTGGTTAATGATGGATGGATGGATTTAGTTATATATTTAGTCATATATTTTGTTATATATTTACTCATATATTTAGTTAGTTAAGTGGTTAATGATGGATGGATGGATGGATTTAGTTATAAAAAAAAAATGTTCCGACGTCAGTGGGGACAGGAGCGTCTCCCGAGGTGAGAGTGACGACACCGGGGGCGGGGGGCGGGTGGGGTTGGTTCTCCGCGGGTTGACGGTTGTGTGTCGTCTGTGCTCCGTCTGTCGCAGACATCGTGGAGGGAATGGTCAACAAGGGCATCCTGCTGGACGGAGACAACGGCGCCACCTTCCTGCACTTTGGAAACTACCAGAACACGTGCATCAGTGACCCCACCCTATGCGGCCCCCAGGGTGAGTAGAGATCGGAAGGGCACCGGGGGGTCGCGGACCGACTTGCTGACTGGTTTTTTGTCGCCCCCTGCAGGCATCACCTTCTCGTTCTTCTGGAAGAACCACGAGGCCGAGTCCCGATTCGCGGTCTCCTCCGGCGGGAAGGTGATTTCCAACGGCTTCTCCGTCTACACCAACCCCTTCGTGGGCTACGTGGAGTTCTACACCCGGGGCAACAACCACCGATGGAAGACCAACATCTCCGTTCCGGGTACTGTAGCTATAGCGACCCCCTAGTGGCGAGAATGTGAATTTTTTCCATTTTTTGAAATCCCAACCCCGCTCCTGTGTTTGATTTTTGAAATCCCAACCCCGCTCCTGTGGTTCCAGGTCCGTACTGGACCCACATCCTGTTCACGTGGACCAGGAGGGACGGCCTGAAGGTCTACATCAACGGAACGTTCACGGCCGCCGACCAAGTCGGGAAAGTCTCCGACAGCTACGGCGACCGCTACAGCGACCTGGTGATCGGCACGGGCAACGACGGGACGTACGGCCACTTCGCCTCGGGAGCCTTCGACGAGTTCGTCATCTGGGAGATGGCCCTGTCCCCGAACGACGTGCTGCTGTACTACAAGGCGGCCACAGGTAGGCGCCGCACCGCCGGACCGACGAACCGCCGGCAGGAGGATTCTCCTCACGGATGGATGGATTTAGTTATATATTTTGTTATATATTTAGACATATATTTTGTTATGTATTTAGTTATATATTTAGTCATATATTTAATCATATATTTAGTCATATATTTAGTCATATATTTTGTTATATATTTAGTCAAATTAGGTAATATATTTAGTCATATATTTAGTCATATTTAGTCATGTATTTAGTCATATATTTTGTTATATATTTAGTCATATTTAGTCATATATTTAGTCATATATTT